GGGGACAGAAGAGTGTTTCAAAGATGTAAAAGAGACAGACACAAAGGTATAAAAAGGTAAGATGAGTACTGTGAAAGTCTTCGAATATGGCATCGAGTGAGGTGATGGTAGTTTGAAGTGAGAAGTCAACTGCCAGTCAATAGACTTTTTTGCCGTATGAGTATACGTTGCCCAGGGTGCACCACGTGGAGGTAAGTCCGTCGCACACCCCACCTAGAGAGAGGTAAAAAGTCAGAATGCTGATGTTTATTACGTTCACAAGATGTCTTTCGTGTTACTTATTTTATACATAATAGTGGATAAAATGTGACATCCGGCAATTTGACATGACTATACTGGGCAAATTCGCAGTGATAATGGCTGATCCACCATGGGATATTCACATGGAGCTACCCTATGGCACTATGTCAGACGATGAGATGAGGAGAATGGATATTCCATGCCTTCAGGATGATGGTTATATATTTCTCTGGGTGACTGGTCGGTAAGTATTTCTATTTTTCCTATTTAAACTGATTTTAATTGTATTACATTGTTTTCTCAATCAGAATTTAATCATTCACATTTCTGAATTTAGGAGAAATAGCCATGTTATTTTGATTTTTGTTTCCTTACCATATAATCTATCCCCAAATCGCCTCTTTATTTATTAATGGTGGAAGTCTGATTGGCTAGGCATTCTCGAACTTTCTCTGTATCATATTTAACCAATAGGTCGTGTTAAACCTAAGTCATATGCACTATAATTGTAATCATTCAGTTCATTGTAATAATACAATTTTATAAAATGTAAATATCTCCAAGCCCATTTCCTAAAGCTAATTTTGGTCAAAGGGCCAACCTACGATCACCTCATTCCTCTATCCTTCTTGTCCAACGTTATCTGCTACATTATGCCATTTCGCTCACTCTATATGTCCCAATGAGCATCACCAGACTTTATAAACAGGATAGAATACTAAGAGGAAATGAAGTCGAATTCCATAGCCTAGACAAACACTTATTATTTAAAATCTGTTGAAAAGCCATTTGTATTCGAATGGTCGGTTATGCCCATCTTCATTCAATCTCTTCTCGATCCATCGATATTTTTAACGGAGAAGTTTACCGTTGATTCGGAGTCAACAAACTTCCGAGATCTAACCTTGAGAATAGAAAATAATGTTGCATTCCTTTGAATCCCTTCTTAGCTCACTGTAATATGGAATCTTTTATTTCCTTTTCGAGTGCAATGGAGTTGGGTCGGGAGTGCCTCAAACTCTGGGGCTACGATCGTGTTGACGAGGTGATTTGGGTTAAAACTAACCAGTTGCAGCGACTCATTCGTACAGGTCGAACAGGTCACTGGCTTAATCACGGCAAAGAGCATTGCCTAGTCGGTGTGAAGGGTGATGCTGCACGTTGCCGTAGCAACCGTGGTCTCGATTGTGATGTGATTGTCGCAGAGGTTCGAGAAACCTCCAGGAAGCCAGATGAAATCTATGGTCTTATTGAACGACTCTCCCCTGGAACTCGAAAATTGGAGTTGTTTGGACGGCCGCACAATCTCCAAGCCAATTGGTGGGTGTATTGGATTTTATTAGTTGCGTTCTATGCATGCCAATTGATTGATACTTTTATTGCGTTTTGTTTGTTTCTTCTCTGTTTTAGGATTACTTTGGGTAATCAATTGGATGGCACTTATCTTGTTGATCCAGAAGTTGTTGAGCGTTATCGAAAGCGCTACCCCAATGGAGCTGATAACAGAGGAAATGGCTCTTAATATTAATGTAAATTCTTTTTAAATTTTTTTCTCAGCTGAGTTATTATTTGTAACTGCCTTTCTTATTCTTCGTGGAGTTTGGGGAATCAGGTTAAGTACCACAATCTTTTAAGTGGTTTTTTCTCTTACATGAGCACGCCTACGCATATTATTTCAGTGGGCGATAGAATTTCTCTCACTTCATCTCTCTCTCTTTCTCTTCTTGGTTCTCACAAAAGTTCTATCCGTACTAAACATTTTGTCTTTTGTATGCTTCTCTATTGGGTGGTCTAGTCTTATTCTCTTGAGGCTATTGACCTCGTCCTATACCGCAGGAAATATCAAAAGGGCAGAATAGTAGCACAATATACTTTATTGGAACAAAAGTGCAAAACTTCCTCAGCTTTGAATTCAGCCTATCGCTCTACGAGGTACTTTTGCCTTGCTCACCTACTGCCGCTGATAATATTAACTCTAAATTACACTCAAGTCATCCGAATAAGAGCATATCTGTTTATTCACAAATATATTATACTATTCGAATAGGTGAATACATAAATACAGTATAGAAGTGTTTGTGAAACCATGTCGGGATTTGGTCCAGAGGGCTGCCTCAGTTCTAAGAAGGCACATTGTTACCATTTCAAGTTGCTCTGATATACTTGGCGGTTAAGGCCTTGCTTTTTATAAGACTAAAATAAACACTGACAAGGGATACCTCAACCTAACAAAATGGGGCTACTAAGGTGGTTTTACTGAACATATTTAATGGTAGTATTTCCATCAATAAAACCGACTAGGTATTTTGAACCTCACCAACTTAATATCTGCGGAAAGTATCTACAAAATAAAGAGCCGTAATTGTGATTGTACTTATTCTACTTTACAAGTAATTACACACATTGTTGGCAAGATACAGTTTCGTAACTCCAATCATTTATGCACCCTCCTCCGCTGTATTCTCACGCAGACGTTCCACGTCGAAAACTCGTACGGAATGGTCATCCGAAGAGGAGACAATGAATCTCTCTCGGGGATACTCGGGAGTGACAGGGGCAAGAGCCAAGTCAAGTACGGCTGCTGAATGACCACGCCAAACGGCCACGGAAATTCCGTTGCCACTGGATGCGTTCCATGCGACAACACTGCCTGCTAGTGTGGAGGTGTAGAAGACTAGGGGCTCCGAACGGCTCCATTTGAGAGAGGTAATGCCGAAGGCTTCTTCGTACTGAAAGTAAATGAATAAATTAATGATAAAACCCTAAACTTATGGAGATTTTTTAAACAACAACTGGGTGTCTATATTACTATGCCCAGGAATAAGCAATTCTATTAAGTTGTCTCTTAGTCGGCCAACATCGGTGTGCGGGCATAGGCCGGTCCTGACTTCTAGGAATTTAATGAAAAAGTCGGCCCGACGGTGCTTTGACACTGAATATCAGCAACACACTAGAAGCCGGGTTTATTTGGAGTAGTTCTGCAACCTAGGGCAAACAAAGGGAAACACACACACGCCCGCATGCGAAACCGATCAATGGGAAAGCCAAACTTGTGAGATCAAACTGGTCATACGTTCAGCCTTCAGAGGGAAATTGTGTTCGTCAAATCAAAATGCCACGAAGTACATTTATTATACTTTCCCTTTCTTGCCTTCATCTTTTCTTCATATTTATTTATTTGCCCTATCTATAACTTTGTGCCTGAATAAAGATCTTTCAGTATCCCCAGGAGTAGTATTTTTAAGTTACCGCCCAAAAGTGAATGCACTGTGGGTTAAGTGCTATCTATTTGGCAACCAAACAATCGAGGGGGAACCAAGAATTATAATGAAAAAATGCCTCAATTTGTTTTATAAACTTACTCCAGTGCTTGGATCCGTGTAGGACCACTTCTGTCGCATTCGCATAAGGCTTGTATCGTAGACTCCAATCTGACCTCCCACGGTACCGAATGCCAAGAAGGGATGTCTAAAATCAAACAATACCATCCATTACTTTCTCATAAGGAATGTGTTCAAATAAGCAGGACAGGGACAACGAATGCATGCAGAGGGCAGAATTAAAATGGCCGGCCAACTTCACCTTAATCTATCAAGTTAGTAGCTCATAAATTTCAAAGTTAATCATTCAATTGAATTGTGCGATGGCAGAGCACCATTTTGGCATACCACAGAAAAGGGACATGACATTTTAACTAGCCGAAAATGGAGGATTTTCGCTTCATAAATTCGTATTTTTATTAATTTACTCACTAGCAAAATCTTAAATTACATCGGCATACATTAGTGCAAATTTTGTTTTGGATTTATCGTCTTGCTTTGTCTTTTACGAAGAAGACATGCGAGATACATAGTTGCCAAACTAATGAAAAGGAGGAGTAGTGTCCCGGTGACACGGTGATAGATACGTAAATCATGAACCCGAAATTCACTTGTGATCACACAATGAGGTGGAAATCGAACCGCCCTGATTAGTTCTGGTCAACAAGAGAGGAAGGAGGACGTGGGCTCCCTGTATGAGCGACCTCCCATGATTTGATTAGGTGCTGTTGACACGTTCCTTAATGGATTTGGAGAATGCATAGGACTTGTCTGCATAATAGTTTACACAATGCATATCCACATCGTTTACTAAAAGGAGGAACTCACGTCGGAGAAAACTCAATTGTCTCAACACTCATTGCTCCAGCATCCAATTGAATAGTTGTGAACTGGAAAAAAAGAAAATGCTAACTTTTTAACAAGTTAACTGAACAAAAAGGGGTTATTAGAGTAAACGGAAACTAACCGAATTTGCATTGATTTTTTTGGGGCCATTTTCCACTTCTTCAAAAGGTGGTGGTCTACAGGGTACTAGGACAACTTTCTCGAATCCTCCAACAGCTACCATATCAACTAATTGAGACTCGTGAGGAGCATCAATGCATAAATATCCCTTAGATAGCTCTTCTTCCGTTACATCAACATCGGGATCAAATGGGGGCATGGGAAGCAAGGACTGAAGAAGAATTCGTTCATCCTTAATATCCCAAACACGAAAATCACCATCGCGACAAATCACGGCAAAAAGAGGGCGTTCCGTTGCATTAGTTGATGGCACAGCAACTACTCCAACCACAGCTTTCCCAGATCCTAAATCAAAGCATTAAATTAGGTTATTCCAACAGAGGCGATAATGGAGCGGTTTCTCCTGACATTTTTACCCATTAGGTATTTGGGAGCCTTTTCTGCAATCCTTGAAGATATTCCAACCAAACTTGCAGAATAAATGCCATCTTCACTTCCAACGTTAAGAACCAATGGCCTAGGTCGGTTTGCATGAGATTCTTGAAATGGTAACTGCCACCAACTTAGAGAAGAAAGCTCTCCAAATTGAAGGCTCCGATTTAAAGTAATTATGGCATCTTGAACACAATGGGAAGGAAATGCAAGATGCCATATCTGAGTAAAACCCGCCATATCTCCTGTTGCAAGGAATTGGCCATCAGGGCTAAACGCAACATAGGTCACAGAATCCGAATGGCCTGTAAAAGGTAAGATTTATCGTTGTATAACTATCGTCAAAATGACATTTTCTAGACTAACCAGTGCAGGTAAAGACCTCGGTTCCTGTTTCTATATTCCAAACGATGGCGTTATCATCCTGAGATCCTGAAGCAATGAGCTTCCCAGTGGGATGAACATCAACGCAGAAAACACTATCTGTTAGATGGGAAAAAAGTAACTAAACTAAATAATCAAATATTTAAGGTTAAATGTTCTAGATTTACCCCTGTGCTTAGTCAAAACGAGCTTGGCGTCATCTGTTTCTGGAGAAAAAACTTCTGACCCTCCACTATCAGACATCATTTCTACATCTACTAATAATAAAGAAATCTAAATAGTAATTGAACTAAATGGTAAAAAATATTGGCTTCGAAGAGTGTATAATAATTACCCTCATCGGAAGGAACTTCGGCATACTCGATTGGTGCTTCGTCTGGAAGATAAACCTCCCCTACTTCATCGTCAGAATTGTGAGAGGCCGAATTATATGGGATCATTTTACCTATCTACATAAATCTGTAAAACACATAAGAATGCACTTAAACATATGTTCATAATCGTCCAGAAGTATCAAGTAAAACATAAAAAGGTACAGAAACTACAGCAGATAAACAGGTACCCACAAGTGCCCAGAAAACACGAGGACGAGCCGAAAGTACAGTCTTTGGCCTTGTTAAAATGGAGTATTATAACAAATATTGCAAAATCTTTAACGATTTAAATAAAAGTCTTTATTTTTGCTAAAACTTTAACGAAATAATTATTATGCTGTTATTTTTTAAGAAAATTAAATATCCAAAAACTAAGTGTCGAATATTAATTATGAATCTGATGGCAATTGAATCATACAGTGAGTTTGCAGTTTTTAACAATTCTTTCTTGACATTCAATCACAATCGTGTAAAAAAATTTAGCCTATAATTTAGTTTCTATCCATTTTCTTGCATTTGTGAATAAATGCATCTTAACCCTATTTTCAGAAAATATTATTGAATTTCTTCCATTATACTTTCATCAGGAACTACTATCAGACTTTCATGTTCATAACCACATTATAACAAAACACCATTGAGATTAATCGTCTTTAAGGAGTTATGCAATCTGCTTAGACCTGAATAGTACTAATTGGCAGACCTCATTGTAAGGTAGGAAATGGTAGCGATATATAATATTTATCAACCGAAGCATTCATTCTTTCACGCTTACGCTTTTTAGCAAATTAAGTTCTTTCAATCTCTAATAACACGTGTTAATCATTTATACACTCTATAAATATGAGCTTTCTCCAGTATGTATTAATTTTGGTGTTGTGTTAATGAATGGCATTGTATGTTGTTTCAATTGTATTCCAGTTCTTGGTAACGGTGAAATTAGGAGATATCAATTTCTGGCCTTAGAATTTTCTCGAAATTGACGAAGGTATATGTAAATTTCTGTTATTAATTTTTCGCTTGATCATAAGATGATTGAAATTAACGTCACCGTAAAGGTACATTTTTATGCTTAGAACATTGCTCATTGCCTTTAATGCCACAGTGTCCAGGGACCCATTAAAGAACTATTGTTTTGTTTTTTCTCGCAGTAATTGATGTAGATTTTACATCATTGTATATCTGTTGTTTTAGGTGGTTCTCTGTTTCCAATTGAATTTATTACTGACTGTGAGTTCGAAAGAATTACTGCTTTGGTGAATTTCGTATCCATTCAGCAAAATTGACCTAGTGCTATCTTAATGGCCTCTATTTCTCCTTCGAAAGCGGATCTATTGAATGGCCTCTATTTCTCCTTCAAAAGCGGATCTATTGTGTTCTGCTGCTGCCTTTCGTATCCATTCAGCAAAATTGACCTAGTGCTATCTTAATGGCCTCTATTTCTCCTTCGAAAGCGGATCTATTGTGACCCGCTGCTGCATAGAAAGAGAATAGTTCATAGTAGGCCCCTGCATCAACTTTTGCTTGGTTTTCTATGTATGACCCATCAGTGAAGACTTGGAGCCATCGATCTCCAAGATAGTTGACATTGATTGTCTCAAGGGCCCGTGAGCGCATTTGTTCTGGAGGGGTATTTGCATTCCTGAAGTGGGTGTAACAGTTTACATCAGTGTCTGCTAATGGGTTTTGGGGCATAGAGAGGCTTTTTTGGTTTGTCATAAATTTGTAATGCTTCCTTCAGTACTATGGCTTTCTGTATTAGACCGAATTGCGTTTTTAGGTGTCTTGGTCTATTTTCATTTGAACTGCTCACATTATATAACAAGTCCTGGATCGCAGGCTCGATAAGTCTGAAATGGTTTCAGAAACAATTTGACCTGATCAACTTAAAGAAAAGATTTGTTGAATAATTTAATTAACACCAAAAGGGGGTTGGGGTGCGCAATGTATTCTTTCATACCTGTGAATCATATGCATTAGTCAAACTTAATTTATCCTTTGCGGTTATACTCACATTTACCTCCAAGGAAGATGTGAAAACTGCAGTTAGAAGAGATATTGAGGGAATAAATCAGGCGCCGTGTCTCGGGAAGCTGGATGACCACTTAGGATAGTTGGAGTGATCACAGCACCGAAATGAGTGCAGGTTTCTGTGTGAATGTGCAAAAGTGTTGCACCCTCGCCCAAAAAGTCTAAAAGCCGTCATGACCCACCACTTAAGCAGTACTCACCTTTTTCATTTATCTTCCTCGGTGTCTGGCTGTTTTGCATCTGTGAAGCACTCCACTGTTACACCTGACAGCTTTTTGGTGGCATTGATGTTCTTAACCTCCGTGAAGTCCGAAGTCAACTATAGGGCTAATGGTAACTATCATAAAACCAACAAATGTATGACAAAATTTTACTGTAACAAGTAAATTGGTTCGCAAGAGAAGGCCTTGACTAGATCCTACCCAATTCTATGGAAAATTTCCCTAGTGTAAAATTGCTCTCGAAATTACTTTACCCACATCAACGGCATCGAGGAAGCTGAATGAGTGTTACTGTCAAAGACCTTAGCCATTTATTACTTTTCGGGTGCGCTGACCCCACAATTACTATTGCCTATTGATTGGCTCTTGGTTCTCTTCACTCGTGACCTCATTAGCTCAATAACGCGATCAGCAGCACGGTCACGCGCTCCTTAATGTTATTGAGGAATAAAATTCTGTATCCACAAGGACAGTACAACAGCCAGTACAATCCAGGGGCTATCTGCGCCAATTTGCACGCAGCATACTCGACAGAGAACTGCACTCAATAAGGTGCAAACACCGTCCCCGCTTTACGCGGCAGAGCACGCAGCTAAAGCCAACAACTCTCTTTTACTAATACTAGGTCCCACGGGACCAGACAAAGAATTTGGCAGCAAGCGCTGCCTCGGTACTCACCATACAAGTTTTATAGTAAGACCGATATTCGGTAACTCCGGGCTCACCACCCACTTCTACCCACCCAACCTCCCACTTGCCACCAATGTCCCTGAATTCCCTATAGACATTGCCTTCATCTCCACGTCCTGCCGTCTACCTAAGCACCCATAAAATCAACTTCTTTGTGCACAATTCACTCTATATTTACTCTTTTTCACCACCACAACTACCCTTTGCCCAACTACCTCTTTACTATTTCAGTAGTATCATCATCCTTCATAAACCCGAAGTGCATCTATTCTCCTACAATGCCACTCCATTCACTATTTCCATTCTGGTGCTTCTCAGTTGCACTCTTTCCTTGGCCTCTCTATATTGGAACGATCATGTGTCTCACAACAAGCCTGTGACCAACCCTGCCTACTCCATCCTTCAGTGCTCCCACAACACCTTCGACTTCCCACGTTCTCCACAAACTTCCAATCCATGCTTAGCCTCTCTCTACATTAGCATGAAATGTAGAAAACATCATCGCAGTCAATGTCAAGTTCATGCCAACTGCTTCATACTTAACTTCTAGCGAAGTTTGCAGACACCTCGTTGGTTGGTAGTGAGCAGACCCATGTCTTCACTGTTTATTCAATTTTCGTCCAACTGTATACTATAAGTGGCTTCGAAGCCCTAACTACGCTATTTCATCCGGAAAATTTACCGGATTTGATGCAAGCGTAACCAAGGCGTGAGCAGCAACAGCAACAGTAACGGCACAGTACATCCTCTACCTTCGCAACCATAAAGTTCAGAGGAAGTCAACTTGCACTGAAAAATTACGTTCGATTATGAGTAAGCAACTCTGTCTGCAACTTACTACCTCATTTCGTTCACCTTGTGCAGACGTTTTGGCTCTTCTTTCTCAATTCTCACCTATTAACAACAGTTAGGAACATGTACCATATTTTTCACTTGCATCTCATCGAGGTGTTATTGACTTGGCCTCTGCTTTCCGATATTATTCACGATAGTTGGAGTGGTAGGCTATTTATCATCAATGCGCTTGAAGGGATAAGTCATTTTAGGGAGATTGTAGACAAATACAGTAGATGCAGTGGAACAGGTAGCGAGGGAGAGAGTGGGTCTCAGCAATGAAGTAGGGTGGCGAAGAACTGGAGAGGTTGGAGAACTTGGCGACATACGCAATCTAGTTGGAGCCGCTTTAGCTCACTAATGTACACAACTCAGGTGTGGGTCATTCACCCGTAAATGTATTGGTTTGTGCTCAAATTGGAGTATCTCATCAGTCAAAACTAACATATCGGAACTAAATTGAGAGTAACACTATGAAGGTCATAACATAGTCCTTACACTCTCTCTCCCTCTCTTCGCCTCTCTCCCTCCTTCGTCTGATCAGTTTCAACTCAGCTTTTTGGCCTTTCGGCTTTAGAGAGGTTTTATTCCACTTGAGGATGATTCATGATTGTTTTTCAACCGCATTTACCTCATTGCAGCGGAATCGTAACTTCTTCCCTACCTCCGCACTGTGTTTGGAATGCAGTTTTCGTGGTGTTGATAACCATTCCATTGCTGTCAAACCTGTTTGCTAATAGTTTAAGCGCATAATTTAGGGCGCTTTCCGTCCTCTCCTGAGCGTTTTTCTTAGGGGGGGGGGGGGGGGGGAGGATACCATAGAACAAGATCATCTGCATAAGGTAAGCACTTGATGCCCGTGACTGTCTGTACCAATTCGGCTATGTCATTGATGAAAACATTGAAAAGAGTGCAGATTATGACAGCTCCCTGTGGAAGTCCTGTTTGTAAAAGATTGGATTTTATTAGAGCATTTCCATATCTGACTTTACATGATATTTGTTCAATGAACGCTTTATCCAGTTTAGCATATTAAGCTTAATACCAATCTTAGCCAATTCTAGAATTAGATTCTTTTTCCATACTAAGTCATATGCTGATTTAAAATTGGCGAATACAACCGTAAGAGTATTTCTTGCATCAAGGGCATCTTTGATTGTTGGGAGAAAGTGACTACTTGCTGTTTAGTTGATCTTTACGGTCTTCTTTATATTCTTATATCCCCATCTGGTGGAATGGACGTAAAAGACGCATACTACAGTTTTGTGAATGATGTTCATATATGAGTAAATTGAAACAGAAAAACTGATGAAAATTAAGTTTATTCTATCTATATTTATTTACTAAAGTAGTGAATGGAGGAGAATTTTGAAAAGATATTTCAAGAGGTAAGCAAGCAACTTGATACATGACCATGCTAAAAAACGGAATTATGTAGTATTTTCAATTAATGAACTTTAAAGACCAAACAGCGAGTGAAAATGTTTGAGCATAAACAAGTGATTTCTGTGGTCATTTCATTAATATGTATATATTGAATACATTGAATAATCATGGGAAATATCATTTGTCCGAAATGAAGAAACCATTTAAAGCCATTGTAATTGAATCTTGTTTATCGGTTTATTGATTTATAATATTTTGTTTTAATAATTCAAGGGCTTTAAACTTTTCGCATAAACAGGCTTGTAGAAACTGTTTATTTTATGTTTTTACTCTCTCCTCCTTAAAAATGTATTTCCAACCTTAGTGAAAAATTCATTTAATTTAATGAACAATTTTTCTTCATTTAGGTTAAAAAATGCCTGATACAAGGGATTCTTCGAATTATTCTGAACCATTTGCTGTTCGTGGATCATCTTCGTTATTTATACAACGGCAAAGAGATACTTTTGATTGTCTTCAAGCTTTAGAAGAAGCACACGCGAAAGTAAATAAGGAAACTAGAGCTGAACGGAATTTGGTGAAAAAAATGGCTTGGAGACCAGCGAAACCAGCTATAGAATCTTTGGAAGCCGAGAAAGAAGCAGTATGTATTTAGTTTTCCATATTTTTGTGTCCAACTTATTGTGTTTTATTTAATCATAAAGGAAGACTTATGCCTTGTTATGGGTTATCATGTGTAGATACCATCCTTTACTTATCCTTCTGTTTAATGCCGGGTTATATGTTCAAATTGTTACTATGATGATACGCCTAAGCATTTGATTCAATAGTTCGAAGGAGTTTTTATATAGTAAAATCATTTTTCGTTTAATCTTTGGGGTAATTGCTAGCTATGCTCATTAGCCTATCACGTGATACAAGGCTTCTGCCTTTTCTAATGGTTTTTACTCTTAATTATTTCGATTGAATTAATATTTAACATCTTTTCTTCTTTATCTCTGATATACCTTATTTAAATTTTTATGGCTGGCATTTGAAGTAGGCTTAGTCGTTTTTTTAATTTCCTCGTCGGTTAGAATTTAGAACTTGCTTATACGTTATCTTAAATATTTTTTCATATTAGTCGGCATGAAGATGGTCAGATTCCAATCCTTACCTTAAATTGTTATCTCAGTTTTAAGTGAGTCTGTGAAAGCATTACTTTTATCTACGAGACGCTGCTCTTCTTAAAGATGGTCCAACAGTTTAAAGAAAACCCACAAAACCCTTTTTCAGCTGCATAAAACTGGTTTGTTGCAGCATGGGAATCGTTGATTGAACAGATAACGAAGTGACCAAGAGACTGAAGGTGTTTCAAACTTTGTTGCTATGTATAGATGCAGCTAGGAAATAGTAATAAAATACGCGAGTCAGCAAGCAAGTCACCATAAAAGACAGTATAACTAACGAATGAACCTAAGCAATATGCTTAACTTTCATCCATTTTGTGAGTAAATGATAAGTTCTGTTGTTTGGTTTAGTTTTCCACATCATTTAGTCAATTATTACTTTTCTTTTTAAAGTGCATTTAAGTTAGATCCGTATCCGTATATCAATAATATTTATTTATTTATTTCAAATGACAGGTTTTATGATAGCTATCATTAGCCTTCAACTTCAGTCTCCCAATTATTCTTATTTAAATATCTTTTTTTGTACCTTATCACATGAGGGTTTCATATGTGGTAGTCTATATAGGATGCGGAGTGTTTATGTAATTTTCTTCTTTACTTTTGCCGCATGTGTTCTACAAGTTTTGTTGTATTTGTTTTTAATATCAGGTGTGTCAGCATTTTAGAAATCGTTGGTTAGAGAAAGAGAAATCTTTCCATCTCTTTTAAATTTTAGCACAAATTAAGCAGGAGGGAAGGTGGGCACAATTTATTTTTATTTTTTATTGTAGACTGGGATAAAAGAAGTAAGGCAAATGATTTTCCATAATTTATTTTTGACATTTGAGGTGGGGTAGAAGACATTTGTTTATTGGCTTGCAATAAGTTGCCTAGAGAATTATACTTTGGACGACGGGTTTATTTATTCTTATGAATAGTTTGAAACTTTAAATTTTCATCCATTATTAATTCATACTTTCAAATTATATAAAAGTAATAATTCGGTTGTTTGTTACTAATAATACTTTCTATTGATTGCAGAGGGATAAGCTAAAGTCGTCTGGCACTAATAAATTAGCTGATACCTTCAAAATTCCAATCAGCCCGGCTCCGAGGCCGGGTGGTAAACGGAGGGGAGCCCCAGATCAACGGCAGCAAAGCCGCTCTGATGATCCACGCAGAGGTTCCACAAAATGGATTCATTACAGCCTTGCAGACGTCAACGAAGATGGTAAAGCAGATCGTAGTATTGCAGCCGAGTTGATGCGAGAATTACGTCGTAGGCATCAGGAGGTTTGTTCCACCACTAATTACTTAATTTGTCGAAAGCAGACTAATTGATAAAGGCATTCGTCCGAGTCTTAACATTTATTTTTTAATTATCTTCTACCGGGTAACTCGGTACCATTTTAGATTATTGCATTTGCTATACAATAAATCTTCTTTTGAGCGTAGTTAAGTTCATTGGAATTCTTTTAATGCTGTGTTGAATCTTGGATTTAACTTGATCAGAATATCAGCTTCCGTTTCGCCAAAACTTTCACTCCCTGGTTAAGTGACCTTAACTTTGACTTGCTTTTTTTCTGAGTTCTTATTGATGCATGTTATCCTAAAGCAAAATTCAGTGTAGCCATGTAATGGTCTTCCTTTGGCTCTGGAATTGATCTAATACTATTTTTGAGCAAGCTTTCAGCTTGTTATAGAGTGGAGAAACATTTTCACTGAAGGCAGGATAGGTTCGTGTAGTGATACATCTACTTAGTTATTTTGAGTAAAATTAATTTTCAAATCTTTATAGGAAGGTGCACAGAATGAAGAAGGGCCGATTGGTAATCCACCTCAAGGTCGAATTCTCTTTCGCCCAAAAACTGGAAGAAAAAGACGTTGCATGGATTCTGTCTGTGAATCCTCTAGTTCGTCTCTGCCATCGGCATTCTCTCCGGAAGATGAAATTACTTGTGAAGATCAAGACTGTAGCACGGAACCAGTTACTTTAACTAAGCCAGAAGCAGTGCAGTTCCGATCGAGACAACATCCCGGAAGACAGATGAGGTTCACTACAATGTCAGATGATAATAGTGATCATGAGGAGGAGATGGACACGAACGAAACAACAGATACTGACAAAGATGAGTTGGGGAGTTCTAGCGACAAAGGTGAAATGTCGGATCTTGAAGATCCTCCTGAGGGTGTGTAAATAATTAACATTGATTAATTTCTCTTGTACATACTTCTAATAAAATCATTTTCAATGTATAATGTGATTTTCACTGATACTTATTTTCAACTTTATAGCAGTTAAGTTTTGTTACGCATTGTAGGTTTATATTTCACAATACCACATATTAACACCCATAAGCAGGCGAGTTCTTGGAAGTTAAGATCTAGTGATGAATTGAATTTCCCAGTTGAGTTAAATATTTATTAACTAAATTGGGGATGCCGGTTATTTACTTTTTTGGATTCCTCTATTACACGGTTAGAATTGATCCAGTTGTCTACGCTCAAGTAGCCGAGGTCACTCTTATATTGGACTGAAGTATCACATGACTTATTTGTTATAGTTTAGGTTATAATGAGCTGAGATGAGGTGACGCAGTTTCCATCATTCTATATGAAATAGCATTTTAAAGAAGTAGGAGTTGATCTCAGTTCGGTAGACCTATATCGTCCATTGATTTATGGCCGATTTGATTTTCGTTGATTATCGGTACTGATTAGACAGGGTTTCGTCATCGAAGGAAATATTCTTTATTTAGAGGTTTGAGGAAGCAATTTCTGACATTTTCCTGTGACAGTACCTGGTCGTAAAGATTCTATATTAGTGGGTGACCCAAATCTTGCTTTGTGCAAGGCACGTCAGATTAGTTTTAGCTAGAAGTAAAATCCATGATTAATTTGACATCACGGATTTACCACTAATGTCTTATGTTATATGTCAAAGGCAAACTGTGGTTACATACAGGCATATCACGGAAAGCGGAAGAACGACACACGTTTTAGCAAGAAAATGAACATTTCTTAGACACGTGGTAAACGCTTCGCTACCGGAGTAATCAATACTTAAAGCGGTGGCAAGGTTTCATTCTCAAGTATGGTAATTAATCATTAATCCAGTGCACAAATGGTGTAGCGTAAACTTTCGTTCAGATGCATCTATAATTACCGGAAATCCTGAGTGATTCGATTTGATAAGAGTTCATGACTTTTTTGCGGCGATTGATTTTAAAACGGGTGTCTACCTATATTGAGGTGGTACATCTAGGAACGTAGTTACAAAATTTATCATCTAATTACCTTTGAAAGTGTATTTTGTCGACCCTCCACCTGCCGAGAACTGTATTAACGTTGTCACCACACCCTAAAATGAGCTTACACCAATCATGCATTAAAGGGTAATCAAATTCATTAAATGAATATTGATTAAATGGTGCTACTATCAGTGTACCCATCGGTTTTTATTAGTCGTTAATTGAGTGGCATATTGATCCAATTAGTAATGAACGAACGCCTAGGGTGAAAACAGATTATGGGGTGCCCCTGGCAATTCGTTCGTGCTACCCTCATCTTTGCTATGCTAAGTTTCTGATTTTTTTTCGCCGTTTCAACCATTAGAAGGTGACAAATGCATAGAAGTAAGAATTCCATTTTTGATTTAAAACGCCGACATTGTTGGCAGGCATTTGCTGAAATCCTTGAAATGGTTCATGGACTTTGAACTATCTATTAAGTAGATATTGTAGAACCCAAATCCAAAAAAACAAATGCAGATATGCTCTTTGGTACCTTGACGCTTAACCCAGAATTCTCTTAAACTCTCACCATTTCCATTTACGGGACTATCTGTCGACTGACTTATGTTGCTCCCAAGACAAAAAATTACATAATAATTGTAATTATCCAAAATACTATCATACTGTTTATGTTAGTTATGTGCGAGCATATCCATTGGTATTAAAACATTCCTAATCTGTAGTGGCATTTTTATTTCTTTACAAAATAATTTTATGAAAATGGTTACATATTATCACTGGTAAATAAAATGCCCTTTTATTTTGCATAATCAACATTTACTGACCGGTATCTTACTTGAATGCATTTAAACAACGTAATTTACCCAATACTACAAAATAACGCATTTAAATAATACAAATGAAACTAACCTAGTAACCAATCAAATACACAGCCGAGTTAATGGATAAGCCACTGTATCGAGAAATGGAAACACCCTCGATAAGTTGCATATATTCCTCTTTTTACCACTTAGTTTAATTAGTTGTGGCTGTTGTCATTGCCAGTATGCAGCCACTGTTGAATTGGTACCTGCTTGTAGATGTGTCAGATAGCAATAGGGAAGCTTGCCTCTTTCCTTTCAATAAAATATTTCCAAGGAAAAACCTTGATTTTTTAAATACATTCATTATGGAACGTAGTGCGAACATAAACAGCTTGAAAAAGTTTGCAAAGCTGTGATTTATAGTCATTTTCAAGGATTGTAGTAATTAGCATCGATTTGCTAAACACTGATAGTTGGCACAGTATGATGTCAGAGAGCTAGCGATAGACTTTCCTAATTGTAAGTTTAATAATAATTATATAAACGTTTTGCTAGTTTTTTCCCATACACTCATATTTTCAATAGTCTCTTCCATTTGACTTCGTGATTTGCTCCACCTTCAGAGGAAGAGAGAGAGAAATAAGGCGCCCATGGGAAAACAAAAATTTATAAACATGTGATACGTGGTGTTTTGAATGCATAAATGTCTCGCACTATATATAACAACGGAATTGTATACCCACTGGCGCAAGTGACTGCAAAGTAATCTAGGGAAAAATATGGTAATATTTACATCAAATGGCAGACTTTATGAAAGTTATCACTGGACATTTAGTTGATTTAGGGCTTCACAGAGGGGAGGAACATCAAAGTCACAATATGTCACGACTGGGGACAGAAGAGTGATTCACAGGTGCAAGGGACTAACACAAGGGTAGAGAAACAGGTATGGCGAGTAATAGGGCATACAATCGGATCATGGTGGTTTAAAGTCAGAAGTCAATTGCAGGTTTGTAGACATATTTGCTGTATGGGTACACGTTGCCTAGGCTGCACCACGTGGAGGTAAGTCTATCGCCCAACCCTACATGCTAATATAGAGACAGTCAAAATGAAGGAAATATAAAAGAAAATTAGCTACGATAAGGTTAGAAGTACCATATCCACCCAAAGTGCAATAAAGTTAATTCGAAGTGTTCTGTAAGTTGTGGAATTAAGAAGATAAAATGTAGGTAGTTATCCGCCCATTGAACTTGCCACCTAGGGTGGTTATTGTGTAAATATACTATGCAAATGAATACAACGCCCTTAAAGTTTCCACAATGCAAAGATTTTTCTAGGTAAAGAGATATCATTCACATTGTCAGCTAAATGAAAATCTTTGTATTCGAGACCAAGATCTTAAAACCTAGGGTGTGCGCAATGCCGCATGGCAGAACAAACAAATCTCATGCCCACCCAGACGGACTCGAATGTGCGGTCGTGATACGTATTGCGTAGTAAGCAAGTGTGATCGTGAGTATGTTTGCCTCTTAGCCGGCCATCAATCAATAGTACCCTCATGGTTTAACAAACCTTTCATTGTATTTTAATGATAAAGCTCTGTGACAAACACACCCCAAATATACGTGTTCCCCACTGTACGCCTGTCCCCCCCCCCCCTATAGTGTAGACTGTGTCCTGACATGGAGGTTACCAAGCCTAAGTCATGTTTTATTCTTGTAGCAATCCGCTACAAACCTCGCTTTCCTTTCATCTCATTAACTTTAAAAACTAACACATCTAAATTTCAAATTTCGACCAATCACCTGATTGGGCACTTTTACAAATTAGTTAGGACAGTGTTTTAGCCTGATAAGCCTCCAAAAAGCAGTGATAACATCCAGATTCCTTAAGGTTAGGCTTTACACTTAAATAATACCAAGCGACAAACTTGCAAGTTTTGCCATTTTAACAAATATTCAATTTTTAGGAAAATGATTAATAATAGACCATTGATTTATCTTTTTGAAAAATATATTCTTCCTACTTTTAAGCCTTATATCCGCCTAGATTATTTTCCGGAGTTTCAAGATTCCTCAGGGACCGAATAGCTCTATGTTAAATCCGTTTTCTATTGCACACAAAGATAGGTGATGTTTGCGTTATCGCATGCAGATTTGTTCATCTTAACAGTAAAGAATTAAAGATCTCGTTCATTGCATTCTTCTCTTGTGATATGAGAATTTGCCGTCACATATTACTAATAAATTGCTCAACTAAAGCATTGAGATTAGAAGGAAAGTTTAAGGAGGAAGTAAGTAGACCGCAGCCAAAATCCCTGCATCGAGTACACAAGAAATGAGTGAAATTTTTGGACACAAAAATGTTTGCTATTCCATGTGTGATTAATAATTGGCTCAGACTGGTAATGAGCAGCATCGCTTGAGTCAGGCCCATAGGTGTAACCTCAGGTCACTGTGAGTATTTCTCAACCAGGTTAAGATTAGATATTCTATAGAGGGGTCCAGCAAGACTGAGATTGTAGCAGATTGCTACCTTACTAAAGCCTGACTGACTCAGAAATCTCTATGTCCGATTCTCCTACATCTAACTAGACTCCCAGAACCAGATAAGCTATAGCCCAGCTATAAAGGAAACAGACATATAGCACGGAGCACGTTTATCCAGTACGAGTATTGCGGATAAAGTGTACACGTAGGGGGCCTAATTATGATCAGGTTGGGGGATTAGGTTAACCAGAGGTTGATGATTGGTCACTGTTTGTACGGTCGCTGCACACAAAGTTATACGGCCGCACCTCCCAATCCTGGCGAGCAGACATGCAGGCATACGATAAAGCACAGAGCGATAACGTGTCCCACAAGATCAATGTATTTATTTATTTATATTGTTACCCCTTTAGTTGACTTCAGGCTTCACAAAGGGGAAGGAAAATCAAAGTAAAAAAGTCGAGAGGGGGAGGGAAGAGAAGAGTGCTTCAAAGATTTTAAAGAGACAGACAAAGTTTGAAAAAGGTGATGTGAGTACTCTGAAAGTAGTCGAATTTGACATACAGCATAACGAGTACTGTGGAAGTAGTCGAATATGACATACAGTTGAGTACTCTGGAAGTAGTCGAATATGACATACAGTGGGGT